GGCCACTGACCTCCCACCTGTCATGGCGACCCCCGCCCGGGACCCTCACGGGCCCCGCTGATACTTCCTGGGACTTCTCGATGAGAGTTAGGCGTACATCCGCTTATCCCGCACGGGAGACTGCCATGCATGCCACGCCGACTCTCCTGTTTGACGTGGTGGAGAAGGGATGCCTCATTCGGACAGTCCACTCGCGTGGAGGCCTCGGGGTCCCGCCATGCGCATGCCGGTTTCTCGCGCGTACTTGGCTGGTGACGGCGGCCCGTAGTTCCGCTCGGTGTGAAGAGCTTCTTTGATGAGGGGCTTGGCCCGGGCTAACTCATCAAGGGTCTCGAAGGAGCGCTTGACGAGGTAGGTGGGGTATCTTGGGTGGCACCGTCATCTGACCGGAGCTACTCTGTCCGACTCCGGTGAATTGGGGTCCGCCCTCTTGTAGAGCTCTTGCATGGCCCGAACGTACCGGACCAGACTTCCATCCGGGTGCAGCGTCCTTGTCTTGAGCTCTCAGAGAATCTCCGTTGCGGAGCCCGCAAGAAGGAACTCTTCTCGAAGCCTCGTCTTGAAGTTCGCCAGGCTGGTTAAGGAGGCCAGCGACCCCAACCAGCACCTGGCGCTGGCTTCCAACGCCAGCGGGGGAATTCGGTCCACGATGAAGGCTTCCGAGGCACGGGAGGCAAGGTGGTATGTCTGAAACTCACCAGGAGGTCTGCCGCTAACTTGACGTCGTCGTACCCCGCGTAGACTGGCACAGTCAAGAAGTGTGGTCTGGGCTCCTGCGGGGAGTCACACGCTGGTTAGGTATAAGGGCCAGGCGCTGCACCACGGAGTCGCACATCTTCGTAACCTTCACGATTATGTTCATTTGTGCCGCTGCTGCCAGTGCGGTTGCTTCCTGCTCCCGTGTAAGTTTAGCTGCAAGCACAAAACAAAGAAAAGAACCCCCCCCCCCTCCCAGAAACCAACACAAGTGCAACACAAGCGCATAATAAAAAGCCTCCCCCCCAAAAAAAAAAAAAAAAAAAAAAAAACAGCACAAGCGCGCAAAACTATACGCCAATGCAACAAATGCGGACGTGACGGAAGCACGGGGATTGAATAAAAGGGTTACCGGAAGACGAAACCTAGCCCCATGAAATTCATGCGAGTGGGTAGCATACCACGCTTAGGCGCATCGTAGGCGGATCGCCTTGCTGCATACCCGACCCGTAGGAAGAACACAAAGCCAACTGTTTTAACAACAAGAAACTACATTTAATATGACATGAACGAGACGATCAATATATTTAACATCGTTACCAACGGGGCTTGAGCCCAGACAGCGACTGCCCGTGCTCCGCTTCTGCTCCGCCTCGTTAAGACGGCGCGCGCGAGGTGCGCGTGCCCGGCTTGATTCCGCCGCCACGCGGGAAGCTTCGCCCCCTGTGCCCCGTAGTCGGGCAACAAAGCTGGGCGGCCGCCGGATGTCCACAAGGCACAGCCTTTTTAGTTACAAAAATAAACCTGTATCGCTGTGAGGCATCATTGCAGGGGGAGGCTTACATACCAACATTTTTTTAGAACACAAGTAATGCACACATACACAGACAGGCATATAAAATGAATTAAAACGAAATAAAAAAATACTTTCTATAAAAGAAAAATTACACAATCGAACAATTAAAAAGAAAAGGTACACCAGCTAGCGGGCCGACGCCTGACGGTCTTCGATATTGCTAGGCGCCTCTCCGAGCAGGTGCGTCCGTGGCCGAATGGTTATCGTGCTTTGCGCCCACGGAAAGGGCAGAGGTTTGATTCCTGCGAGCGGAAGTGCCTTTTTGCTATTTCTGTAAATGTCCCATTCCGGTCAATTAGAGATCTATGTTTTTTGTTCGAGGTTCGTATATTCTACGCTCCGATTGTTCCAGAGGCCCAGGCGTGTGCATAAGCCAACGTTGCTAGAACACTCAGTTGGCAAACTCGCCGACGAAACTTGGGCCGCTGGCGTCCACCGAGACCGAGCTAATTACGACAACAGCGCCACTCTTTAGCATTTGTCTGTACTGTGGTCACCTTGAGCTTTTAGAAAGCATGTTGCTGCGTAAAAACAAACGGAAAAGACTCTTTCTGTATGAAATTTATTCGAGTTTAGTACCAAATGATGGGCGCGTGATGTTTTTAAAATCTTTAGGTTGCAGGGTTTTGCGGCACAATTAATATTGTCTTTATACAACCATGCCTCAGCGGTTCTTTCAGGTAGCGTGTCCCGACCTAGGTGCATTTTACCTTCGGTAGTAAGTCGCGGCGCGTCCGCTGGGGAGACGGGGGTGGCACCCCTATCACCTCTTCCGCTGTATCTGTTTCGGCTCCAAAAAGGCCGATTAAAGCCAAAATAGAAGTAACGTACAGTTCCTCTAGTGGCCGCTGTGGGAGAATCGGCGGCGTTGTGGTCGTGATTAGCACGGTTCTCGAGGAAAGATCGGGGCCACTTTTTTCAGATAAGTCTCTATGGCAGTTTTCCAATTGAGTGTTTTAGTAACGTTGGCATAAGCGACTGTGCGTGCCGAGCCGGAGTCAGTTTCACTCCAGCGCTTGATCCTGCTGTTACGCCGCGAACAACGCCTGCGACGCTAGCCTTATTCTATTTCGTTTAGGCACAAGTTCGCCCCATTAAACGTTTAGTTTCCTTCAGTCATTCGTCGCCTCATCAATGCCATTCGTGGCAATTGATGAGGTGCAATAGGAAGGGTGAAATCAGTGCTATCACCTAATGATGATGAGGTACGGCGATGACGTGTAGTGTAGCGAAGTGAAAGTTCAGGCTAGCAAGTGTTTCAAAGACCTAAGGCGACACAGAATGCGGTGCTTCACTGCACATTTGTATGATCGAGCGCTCTGTCCTGTAAACATACATTATGTCTTCTTGGGGGGTCTTGTTGAAAATAAAAGAACAATATACTTTCTTTTCATCGAGTGGTAGTCACAGGTAGATGCAAAACGCATTCCCCTATTGAGAGCCTGCAAAATAAATTTGGGGTCTCGAACTAATCATATTAGAGTAAAATTTATTGCTTCTTTGTTCCGACGCACGTCAATTTGCAAAATCGAAAGGAGAGCCTAACGCCGCCTTATTATAATCAAAAGGTGCCTCTCTCAACGATGAAGTACCTTATTGTTATGCAGAGAATCTTTAAGCGTGTCGGGATTTTTGGCAGAAAGTATCCCCTATCGCACACAAACACAATTATTTTTTTATAAACATGATTATTTTTGTTAGACCTGGCATGTCCCTAATAAATTGGCGATCAGATCGTAGCATTATGAGAATGACTCAAGCTGTTGCAAACAAAATACTTCTTCATTCTGCGTGCATCCGTCATTGGCAGCAGGCATCTGGAGACGTCTCGAGGAACGGAAGTTGCCTTCGCAGATACTTCAGAAACGATCGATTCTTGGCAAACTTTCGTCTCGATAGGCCAAAGGGAGAGATCCAGGCTTCTTTACCATTTAAACCCCAAAACGGGAAGAGGAAAAAAAAAAAGAACGGACTGATCAGCACTGTGTTTTTGTGTTCGTTTTATATATATATATATATATATATATATATATATATATATATATATATATATATATATATATATATATATATATATATATATATAATTTTTTGTTTTAGGGTTTGAATGTTTCTAGTTTCCTAACCACCTCGCATGAGCACTCGCCCTTCTGACAATCCTGTAGACGCGTTAAACACTAGCCTGATTGCGCCGCTATTGCCGATCTTCTCTTGCCTCACCAAGATGCGAGCTGGTGAGTCAGACGTCGACCAGCCTCCAGAAGAGGCTATATGTTAGGAAGCAGGGCACAGCAGCACCTAAAATGGCAAAAACCTTTCCTGCTGTGGTAATGATGAAAGTTAGGTTATGGCGGCGCCCAAACAAAGCTGCCTCAAAGCGTCTATTTATTCTTTTTGAGCGTTCAAATATGACGTCCAACTTTAAACGAACTTTTTTTTTTTTTTTTTTGGAGTGAAATTTAATTACAAGTGTTCGTCCCTGGCGACGCTCCTAGCAACGGTTTGTTTGGAGCAGTGACGTCACCTTTACGTGGCCGATTGTGGGTTAGTCTTGTTTATTAAATCCATCTCAAGAAACGCTTTTCAAAACCCTATCGAGCAACGTTGACGGTAAACATTTGTTTGGGGCACGACGCGTGTGAGTGCACCCGAAACCTCTCCGCACGCTGACGTAGCGCTTGTTCTTGTTTCAAGCTCAGCCGAGTACACGCCGAATGCCGGCGCAGCTGTGTCCAATCCATGCTCAGAATGCCGGCCCAAGCAACGGCGAACTCGAAGAATCGACGGAGCAGCTACGAGATGGCGCCAACTTTTGAAAATGCTCTATTATGAATCATTTGGAAAAGCTATTTCAACCCGTCACAGTTAGTCCTGGACTCGAGTTTTGGGAGAATTGAAGAAATTGAATGCGGAGGTATTTTCTAGTGATAAACGAGAAGGAATGTCACTAGGCTTTACCTTGTTTCAAAATCATGTTGATCCCACGCAATTTTGCATATTCAATAACAGGTATAACTAGAGTGCATGATCAATTAAAATTGTTTACCTAAGTGTGCCATGAAAGGATATAGACATTTGTAATGCAACTCCACATTTATGTTGGTCCTCGAAGGAGTGTTTATACAAATGTGTGAGCAGTAGGAACCCTGAAACATATAACATCATTGCGTGTTTACTCGGGTCTCATTTTCTACGATAACTTGATTTCCTCTGGACTGCAAAGCTCTAAAAAGGTAATGAAATTCCGGTTGATAACCACAGAGCAAAAATGCGGTCAACACGAGCGGCTGTCAACAAGAGAAAACTCAGACCCCGTCAGTATTTCACGTAATGTCTACAGGGCCAATATGATGTTATTGTTCTTAATTATAGAAAAAAACCGGCAACGCAATGGTTATTAAAATTGACAATTTGATACACTCTTTATCTTTTTTTTTTTTATTTACAGCCAGTCTGTTGAACCTCCAACATTACGGCCGCATGGGTCTTGGATCGGTGAGTACATATCCCTGGGCCTTTGCCAAATCGAAAGCACGGAACAGCAACTCGGAATCTAGGATGATGTTTTACAGGTAGACTACCTCATACTTTTTTTTGCAGTGCTAGACTTCGCCATTCTGGTGTGTACTGCGCTGCAAAGCTACACTTAACATATAAAGACGCAAACTACGAGATGGTATGGAAGACAATTAAGAACATGGCGTACTTGTGAATGCGCAGCGCATTCACAAGTACGTCATGTTCTCAACTCTGTTTCATACCATTTCGTAGTTTACGTCTTTCTGTGTCAAGTGTAACTTTGCAGCGCAGTACACATCAGAAAGACAAACCAACTAGTCCAAATCCAAGCCTTATTAGACATTGCCACCCATGTTTATACAAAAACCTGTGGTAACCTCACTAAAGTGCAAGTATTTATAAAGATACTAGTTAGCCTCTAGACAAAATGCATACAAATATTTAAAAAAAAATTATTTTTCTGTAAAACACGGTAAAAAAAATTCCAAAATTGGACTTCGTAAACAAACACTAAACTGTTGATAATAATATGTAGGCGTGATACGATTTTTGTTTCTAAAATTTTTATACTGTAATGTATAAAACGGAAATAAATAAATAAATAAATAAATAAATATATATATATATATATATATATATATATATATATATATATATATAACGGGCAAGGTGGCGGGAGGCCGAAGGCGTGGGTATAAAACTGAGAAGAAAAAAACGCTTAGTGGAAAACAGCAACAACGGACGATTTAATCTTCGACGTTTTGGTCGGGGTCCGGCCTTCGTCAGGAAGACGAAGGCCGGACTATATATATATATATATATATATATATATATATATATATATATATATATATATATATATATATATAAATTCCATTCAAAGCCACGGGCAGCCATGTCTAATTGCAAACCAGATATAGACCACGTGGTCTTTCTTCGACGAGCGGTTCAGGGCACGAGCAGTATACCACATGACTTCTTAGTTTCTCATGATCGAACTTGACCATTCCTATCTTTGGATGTAAATATTAGTAAGGTAATAAGAACCATACTATTTATTTATTAATAGAACTGAAAAAAAAGTCAGCAAAGGAAACATTCCTAAGAATTGCGCATTTTTGCGTGTTTAGGGCAATCAAATATATGCTTTGATGAACCATGAGCAAAGCGCGCACGCCATAAGTGAAATGCAGATCATTTTATCTACTGACAGGTGTGCCAACGATAGGTGGAGTGTGCACGAAGGACAAGTTTGGTCTCCTTTACGATGACGGCGTATCTTTCAGCGGTGCAACAGACATGGCGCAGCAAATAGCATTTTTGTGAGTCATGTCAATTTTCTGCGTGATTGAGGTACCGTTAGGGCTGAGTCTTTGGCATGATCAAGTAACTATTCCATCCCATTATTTTAACAAGATATTCTCTCGTGTCTTCACAAAAGCATGTTTACTACTTATTTCTTCAAGTGTTTCTAGACGAAAAAAGCTTGTTTAACGAATTTCCGTAAACGTTTTGTAAGATAGCGGTTTTATTACAATGTTAGCAAGGGAAAATTAATATCCGTACACGTTCCATAATTAAAGAGGTATAAATTGAATCATATGTATACTACGTCATGATAGTAATTCTTACGCACCCCTTAAATGTGCTGCTTTATTATTATGTAGAACATAGTATTGTTGTTTTATAATTATGAACTATACTAGGCTACAAATGGTTCAATCGCTGCAGTTATCACAGAATAAGCATAACGAGTCGCGCGGTCGTCAATAAAGTGCGGTTTTCTGAGGGAGATTCCACCTGGAGAATTTTTTCACCCATAGGTCTCGAGGACCACAGACTTTGAAAAATAAAACATCTGGTGCCAGGTGAAAACTCTAAGTATAAAACAGTTTCCAAGCTATATCACACACGTGTGTGCGCAATGTGACTTATTTTTTGTTATTTATGTATCCCAACGTGCAAAGCATTTCAACCGTGTAAAAATATGTAAACAAACAACGAGTACTTTTAGTAAGAACTACTTCGTCCATTGCGAGTGTGTAACCTAAGGGGGAGCGATGCTCTGTCTTAGAAGCTGGTGAGCAGCGCCACCACCGAAAGTGTCCACGTCGCATCGCATAGTAAAGCTCTATACATACGTACCTCCTCAAATGCGCCAGCAGCGTCTTGGTCGTGTCTGCGCTTTCCCGCGGCCGTGTTTTTCGATCTCGCTCCAGGGTAAAGGTTTGGAACCTTGAAATTCAAAAACCTACTCTGCCCAGCATTGCTCAGTGTCAGTTTTTACGTCACGCTACCCGCAGGAGTTGATCGGAGCCCGGGTTCAATCGTATGTCCCGAAATTGTAAGCGGCAACGACGACGAGCGTTGACGAAGGCAACATACCGCCATGTTTTTCTTTTATCTGCGCTAGAATATGCCTCTCCGAGGCGTTTGCGTGCTTGACGGTCAGAAAATTACTACGAGACGTTATTTATCAGCGCCATTAGTAGATAAGATCTACATAATAATAATAATAATAATAATAATAATAATAATAATAATAATAATAATAATGATAATGTTTTATTTTGGACCAAAAATACATGATGCAGGAGGCCTGCAGAAAAAGCTGTCACATAGACAGCTTGACAAAGCCGAAGCCCCCCATACTGCCAGCGTCGGGGCAAGATAAGATAATAAACTATAGAAATAAAAGTGGAAACATTGTGACGAATCTTTTCACACAAAAAGATAAAAATGCAAAAGAAAGATAATAAACTATACATATTAGAAATACTAAAAAAATGGACACTCAATGGTGAATCTGCTTACACACAAAATATAATAAACTGTACATCATAGAAATAAAATTATCATATACCATGTGAAACATGAGATGCATGTTTCACTTTTCATCTTATCATATTGCTTTTTGCGGTTGGCTGGCGGATCGTGTAGACGGTGTTATCACGGCGGTTTTCGGCGGGGCTTGTATGGGATCTGCGTTCTCAATTTCCAGGTCTCGCATAAACCAAGTTAGCGCCGAGTGTTACCCCGAACATTTTGTATAGCGCTGTGCAAAGGCAAGCTGAAATTCCTTAGAAACTAAAGTCATCTGCTCCAGACTATAATCTAAGCCAGTCTGGTAGTGTTCAATGCAAACTGCTTCAGCCAGAAGCCTCAATGTGGCGCCACTGTCTTGCCACAGGCTTCCAATAGTCACCAGCGTAATAATCACGACACCAGTTTCTTTTTCTTCTCATCATTATCATAATTGTCATTAGGCGTCTCTAGACTCAGCTGACTCAGCCTGGACCATTCCGATTTGGCCTGCGTTCCGAGCGGTCACAGTAATAAATAATTCCTGAAAGCAACAATAGTCTTCATCTTGCAAGTGTAGGAGTATTGCCAGCAATCTTCTGTCAAGACCCCCTTGCAATCTCTCGGCCAACCAGGCAAGTTTCTGCTGCTCTGGAGCTTCACAGCTAACTAATCCTAGCTATAGTTAATATTCATAGCTGGCCATAGTATTATAAGCGACGTCTCTACCACGACATCCTCAGGTCCCAGTTCTGCTGCTGCGCAAATAAAATCCCCACATTTCGTCTGTTCCGGTGTTGCTCGAAGCCAGACTCCAAACTGTACTCCGGGTTTGGCGATGACAATGATGAAGACTGGCTTGACTCATAGGACAGGGCTAGCCGCCAGAACAAATGCAACGATTACGCAAAGCTAACTTACCTTGCATTCTACCTGTCTGACGTCCCCAAACGTGTGGTTTAAAAATAATGTAACTTGTTTGCCAACGTGGACCGTCTTTAACAGCAAGCTTAAAGAAATCTCCGGCAGGTCCGCCGTCCACAAACTAATATAAAAACACAAGTTTGCAACTAGGGTCTAACAGCTCTAACAATTCATTTTCAGCATATATTGAGGGTATTATCCCACGTTTCCGAAGTGTTGATTCGAAATAACCGAAAAATGTTACCCACATCCTAAAAGGCATTAGTGCGGGTGACTTTCAACTCCTGTCGACGCAACACGCATTGGCGGTAGACAAGGTTGCAGAAGTCTGTCAGAAATTTCAAGAAATATGACACTAAAGGCTTCTAGTTCCAAGGAGAGTCTCACACCTTACTGAAGTCTTAAGTCTCAGAACACATGACGATTCCATCGCTGAACGTGACACCATCAAAAGCCTCATTCATAAAGCAGTGCGCAAACAAGTATCGCGAGTTCTGAGCAACGTCTCTATTACTCCCGCTCCTCAGATACTGACACATTCTCAGACCTTCTCTATCTACTTCACTTATTTACAAACCCTTATCCAAGACGAAGTAACCGATACTGTTGGTTGCGTTTCATTGCTTACTCCACGTGTTCGCGAAGGAACGCGGAGGTATTAAGACGACCAGCCGTCCAAACACTTGTTTTGTCTAACATTGTTGCGCAATATTGTCCAAATGTGTTCCCATCAGAAGGGCACTGGAGGGCTTCTGACAGACGTCCTATTCGCAACATTGTTCGTTATCGCAGAAATCGCACAAAAGTCTATGATGCTCTGTATTGATCGTATCTACGCACCCCCCCCCCCCCCCCCCACCCCTTCCCCCTAAAAGAATTATTCACGGGGCACTATCCCCGAAATCGGACTACTTGACAACGTGATATTAATGCAAAGGTGCAGGCGAGCTGAACTGGGTAGAGACGTCACCCATAGTTAAATAAGGCCGGCTAAAGCTATTAGCTGCTCTTAGACAGGTGGCAGCTAATAAAACAAGTTTGCTGTACTGACGTCTAACTCGTTGTTAGCTCACAGTATAGAGCACTCCATTGAAAATGGAGAGGTCCCTGGTTTGATACCAGGACCAGGTGAATTTTTTCGAAGTGCTGTTTTCGCAGGTCTTCTCACCAAAAAGATCGTGCAAAGAAAAAATTTAATTGACTGAACTTCAGAGGCAAAATTCTTAATCCAGTGCACGACACAAAGCTGACACACCAAAAAGTATCAGGTTAAAAAACCTTGACAAAAGCGTTCGACGAAAAATCGTCCGTGGCGTACCTCGCAAATGAAACAGCTGACACTTTCACGCAAAGTTTACTACGCCACACAGTTTTTGTTCGCTTTCAAACTTCATATATCTCTATTTCAAAATAGCGACTATCATAACATGGTTTGCTCACCGAGAATCTCAACTCTATTTGTGAAACAGTTTTAAAAAATGTATTTTTTGGTCGGATTTAAACCATCACGTGAGACCATAGTAGGTTACATGTGGAAATGAGCAAACAGAGCAAAGGTCAACTGCTCGCCACCGATGCGGTCGCCCCTCCGGCACCTCGGGTTCGCTCTCTTTTAGCCTTTTTTATGTTTCTCCTTGGTTTTCTTTTCTGCGGGTGGGCGGTATCGTTTGGCGGTAGAGCATGATGATATATCGCGCTGCCACTGGTTTATTATGCCTTTTACTTGTTATTTGCTGTCGAAATATCACGACTTTGGGAGGGGAAGAGAAAACTAGGGGGAGATGGGAGAGTTTTAAGCCCATCATCTATGGACCTTTCCATCGCCTATCACTTGGGCGAAAAATGCTGAGCTGTGGACGCATGCCTAACGTCTGATCAACCGCAGAGCAAATCAACAGCGCATGCTCAGAAGGCGTTCCAAAGCCCAGCAGACAAAAATGGCAATGCGCAGAAGGCCATTTTCGACAAGGTCTATATCAATAACTCTTTTACACTCGAGTTAGTACAAATCTCCCCTGCAGCTGAGGCACCTTGTCCGGAAAAATTCATGCGTGCGAACTTGGGAGGCACTGACTTGCACTAGTCACCATGTGGACGGACGGCAACAATAGCTTTTGCTCGAAGTTTAGTTCGAGGGGCCTAAATCGTGCTGCAGTTGAGGCAGCCTGGAGCTTCGAAGAGGACACCTCCGATATCAGCTCGGCATACCATGTCGCCAGTACGACACCCATGTTTTTCAGAGGGAAGTGGACATTCCGTAGGCTTTGCTCGTGCCCCATCCCTTGAACCGGGAGGCGCGCTCGTATTGGCTCAACCAGTCGCCCTCGTCTTCATAAAGATCCCCATGGAAAGTCGCCGGCGTCCGCGGCGAGGCCTGCACGTAGACGATGGACGTCGGTTGCGTTCCGTCTTGCTGCGACATGGTGTTCATCGTGACCGCAGTTCTTGTTGGCTTGGCCAATAGAGGGTTGAATTCCGGGTGCAGGCCTTGTGTATGGCAGCTGGTTCGGGTGTCGGGTTCGTCAACGGGAATTAGCTTTCCTGGCTTTGAAAAAAAGGTCGAGCCCGACAGATCTTCTGAGGGGTACGTAACACA